CTTCTCCCTGCACAGCATTAACACAGCTGTGCTCAGTGGACCCCACGGTGCTGGAACGGCCCCAAAAAGCAGTGGGAAGCTGCCAGCTCTGCTCCCTGAAGGGCTCCCGGCCCTGCCTGCCAGCTCAGGCTGTGTTAACCCCCGGGCACGACACTGCCCCAGCCTGGCCGCAGCCTCCCACTGCCAAGTTTCAATTAGGAATTCTCCAGGGTGGCCTTGTCCTGGTTGGCATTAGCTCACTTTGCTTCCATTTTGCTCTATGGATTTTCAATAGCTATGATAGAATGGTGTACATTGAAACAAAAGTATTAAGATATGATGGTGACATTTTTCTCCAGAATTTTTATCTTCATCTGACCAGGGATACAAGTGGAAGGGTAACATTCCAGTATCTGTTACCAGACATTTCCTTGGAAGTGTGCTGTCACAGCTATTAAAATGTTTTACCAGCAAAAGTCATGCAACACCACCCGTGACAGAGGCTTGTGACACTGGTTGTGATCCCCTGAAAGAACAGAAAATGTGAATAGACTGTTTAATGGTTGTTTTCTATTAGGGATGCATACTGTGGTGTGGTTACTATGACGTGGCACATCCATCACCTAGTGGCTCTAAAAATGGCACTGTCAGACCTGGAAGGTCATCCCAGCATGGCAGGGAGTGTGCTGCAACAGTGTCGCTCCTCATTCCAACCTTTCTCAGCTGTCTTCCCTCTCTGCTCTTCACCATGGGGTCATGCTGTGAATATGAGCTCCTGCTGGTCCTGCTGCCACAGCTCCAAGGTTTCAGTGGTGGCATTGGGAGCAGAGCCTGTGCCTGCAGAACATCTCCCAGCTGCCATGGCTGAACCTCACAGAAACAGAAAACTCCAGCAAACATCTGTGGGATCTTGTTTGTGATTGTCCCCACCAGCTCCAGTCAGCTTCAAAAGCTGGAGGCTGAAGGGCTGCTCCTGTGGCTCAGCTGAAGCCAGAGACAAATGTTGGCTGCTGTATGATGACTAAGTCTCACATGCTTATTGCTCCTATCAGTTAGAGCTCTTAATCACTTTGTGCTGTTTCATCCTATAACGTGAATTCACTTCAAGCTGTGAAATTCACCGTTTTTGCCATGACTAATTTGTGAAATCTGCCACCTTTCTTTGTGGTTCACGTTGTGCCCTAGTTAGGCATCATCTGTCTGATTAGGGAAGCCTGTGATTTGTTTCTTGCAGTTGAGCCAATACAATTTCATTCCCCTCCTTTCTTGTCTCTGCACTCAGCTGCAATTTTTCTGTCACCCGTGCCCTTGGATGCACTGAGGCTGGAGTGGCGTGGAGGCCACCTCTGCTGGGGCTGGCACACAGGAGCCTGGCTCTCCCCCTCCTCAGAACACGTGCAGAGGGCTCAGCCTGGCCTTTAACCCTGGCTTTGCTTGAGGCTACCTAGGTCTGTTATGTTTACCATCTTCCTAGATTTCTCCCAGCCTGCTTGCTGCAATATTTCGGAGATCATTTCCCACCTGCCTTGCCAGTGCCTTGTTTCACGATACATTCATCTGTTACTCTTTACATTGAATGTTGCTGGCATTCCTAAATGCTATAAATACACCCAGTATTCCATAAAAACACACAAGCAGATGACTGGTCTTGCCTACAAGAAATACTATGAATTCTTCATTTTTTTTCACATGCTGTGAGCAAAATTCAGAGGGTGCTTGAGGAATATCTCATAACCGAATCAGGTCCTAAATTCCTATTTTCTCACTGATTAATTATTTCCTAAAAATATTTTCCTGCCCTCTTAATGTCTTAATTGTTCCTTGAAGAGGTTGCCAGCTCATCCATCCTTTTTCACACCCTCTTATAAGCCCAGTGAAACATTATTTTAGTATTTCTGTCACTGAAATACAGTGATAAATGGTCTTCTTTTAAAATCAGTGGGAACAGAATAATTGATGTGCAGGAGAGCTTATGACTTGCTCTTGCCAAAATGGAGTCCTGCCATGAAGTTCAGAAGCATCACGAGATGCCCTGGATACTCCTCTTTTCTTGATGGCAAAGCTGATGGGTTTGGGCTACACATCTTCACAAGCTAATGATGGAAAAGCAAAGGAAACCTTCTATCCTAGCTCTTATTTTAACCATAACTTTCTTTTCCATCTTTTTTCCTATATTCTTTTTTTTACCAGTTTCACTCAAAGTTAATCACCTCCCTGCCTGAAAAACAGTCATGTGAATAATATCAATAGCATGATTCCTCTTAACAGATAAATAAATGGACAAATCTCTGAGAGTCCCTGGCTGTAATTAACCCTTTATCAAAATCCCAGAAGAGGAGGTCAAGGAACAGCCCAAGTGCATGTTCATGACTTTGTCCAGCTATCAGAAATCCCAATGGGCCTGATCCTGCTTCTGCCCACAGAGTTGATAACATTTCCCTGAATGACCCTGAGAGCAGGACTGTGGCTGCTGCTCAGCATCCCATGCCCCTCTCTGTGTTTGCTGCATCCAGCACAGCAATCCTGCAGCCCTGCTGGCCCAAGCCACTCACTTACCCCCACTGCAGCCTAATCAGATGGCAATAAAAGCTTTTACTGTGCCATCCTGTTTGTGCTCAGCAGAAACATAAAGAGCATATTAGAAAATTGATTTTTGGCATTAATTGTGAGCAAAGAACATTATACTGAGTAGAGACAGGGTGGTTTTTTTCAGGCAGAAAAATTCTATTTTAGTCTTTTAAAAGCAACTGTGGAAGATGCTGAGCTAAGCCCCATGGACACTCTTTTCAAATACCATAAGGCAAAGAGTAGTTACTGAATCTCCTCAGTCTTATTAGCTTACATAAACATAAAAATTTGAATAATGTTTAAAAAGCTAAATTCTCCAGATAATCCATAATCAGTAAATGTTCATTACTGAGATGTAGCAAATATGCATGAGATTTCCCCAGTGGTATTTTGGTTGCACGATCTAAAAGGAGCAGAAAAGCCTCCTCCAAGTGGGGCTGGGCAAAAACTTCTATAGGCTCCTGAGGCCATTTGGCCACAGTGTGGACCTTCCTGGTCCCTTCAGGAAGGAGCAGGAGGAAATCAGAATTCACTGTCTTTGTTACAGCTCTGGTGATTTATAAATAAATCATCCCCACAGGATGATTGATGTCTCCATATAAATAATTAAGTCTTGACCTTATGTTATGACACCTGCTAAATTTTTTGGCACTTGAAACCAGTGCTCAGGAGAGATCCTTGGCTGTGGATAAATGCCTTGACTGTGGATAAATGAAGGTGGGGCTGCATTCAAGGGGGAGGGGGAGACAGGTTTTTGTTTACCCTCATTTTGTTCTGTTTGATTCCATCAGCTAATTGATGATGATTATTAATCTCTGTTGCCATCTACTCTATGGATTTAATTCCTGCCTGTGATTGCTGTTGGAAAGTTAGCTCCATTAGAAGCAGACTCTGATTGGATTTCCAGTAGCCAGAGTTTCCCAGATTTCCCCCAAATCATTGTGGTCCCTAGTCCAGGCACCTTACAATTATTTTTGGTTGCCATTTACTTTGTTTGGTGGCAGAGCTCCAGTGACGCTGTCATTATGCTCAACCAGGCTAGGTAGCAGGTGTCAGCAAAAGTTTAATTTGGAAGCTCATGAATTCAAAAGAAGAGCTTAACAGTTATCCCCAACACAGAGAGCTGCTGTGGCCTGAGCCTGGAAAAGAGAAAATCCCAGGGACATGAAAGGAATTGATGAGACACCAGGCATCTGACAAAATGAAATCTTCTCGGGATAAACTGAGGATAGCTTTCTTGTCAAATGGTGAGCATCATTGATAAACAAAACAGATGTAGCAGCAGCATTTCCAATTCTCATTTCTGAGACTGTTCAGGTTTACTATTCACCCTCTCTCCCTGGTACTGTAGATACAGCCTATTCTCTTAATAGCTGCAACTTTTAAATCTTGCAATAAAATACAAGAATTTTCTATGTAGGTGTCTGACATTAAAAAAGAGACCATCTTTGAGTTTTTTAAAACATGTTAATCTACATGCAACATAAGTCAGCTACAGACAGAAAGCAATATAATACAATCACAACAAGGGGTTTTCCTAATCCCTGAAAAATCTTAAACTAATGACACAGCTATGACCAGGTATCACATCATTCCTGACTACTTCCACCAGCACCCGGGAATCCCAGACGTCAGCAGGGTGCTGTCCGGTTGCCATCCCCAGCACCCTGGGGCGAACATACTTGTACAAATCATCCTTTGCTGTACGCTTGCCGTGGTTTGAACACACCCGTTCTGGCTGGGGGGTAAAGGGGCATTGCAAGGTCCGAGCTGCCCGTGTGGCCGAGCAGGGGCAGGGCAATCGGGACGTGATGAACAGCACTCCTGCGGGAGAGCAGCGCCCAAAGAAACCCCCTGCTCTCTAAAGGTAGCTCCAGAAATTAAAAAGTGCCTGCGAGTCCCGTCATACCGCTCCTGCTCGCACAGAATGAACTCCGCGTGAACCGGGTCTCCAGTCTAGGGAGATGCCTGCATTTATCAACTAGTTTGCTTTGGACCCGTTATTTTCGTTACAGAAACCCATGCCAGACCCGTACCCGTGAGCGCTCAGCCCGTCGGAGCCGGCGGCTGCATCCTCCCCGGAGATGGTCCCGGTACCCCGAGCCCGAGCGCGGCTGGGCCGGCCCCGCCCGGCAGCGGAGGGAGCGGAGCGGAGCTGGAGCGGAGGGGACGCGCCGCAGCCCGGGGCCACCGCACCGCGCCCGGCTGCCCCTGCGCCCGCAATTCCCGGCACCGGGAATCACAGCGCCGCGAGCCGGGAGAGCAGCCCTGAGGTCAGGGGGTCGCACCGCCGGGATGACGAGGGGACACGGGACGAGGGGCCCCGCCGCAAGTTTGGTCACTTTGCCGAAGTGGTGCGGGGAAAAGTTGGGGAGCGGCCGGGGGATGCGGGGACGCGGGTGGCGAAGCGCTCCCGGGCCCGGGGACAGGGACAGGGGGGTCTGGCCACTGACCTGCGCCGCGGCCGCGCCGCTCCCGCGCTCGCTCAGCGCATCCTCCGCGCCGCTCCCGCCGCCGCCCTGCGCGCCGCAGCCGCGGCTCCGCGCCCGCGATGCTCGGCGGGGAGGAGAGAGTGAAGCGGGACAGCCCGCCCGAGACGGGAGGAGGCCGCCGCCCCCCTCCCCGCCCCCCGCCTCCCGCCCCGCCGCCGGCCCCGGCCCCGCCGCCGGCCGCGCCCCGCGCCCAGCGCGCACCTCCGGCAGCAGGTGCGGCGGCCTCCGGCGGGGAGCGCTCCGCTCCTGCCGCGCCCGGCGCATCTTCCTCCCCTCGCCGCGGCGCGGGCGGGGCCGGCCGGGGCCGCCGCCTTTCCCGGGGTGCTCTCGCCTCAAGTTTGCCGCTTTCTGGCGGCGCCGGGCGCTCCCCGCCGCTCCGGCGGATCGTGCATTGTCTGCAGGGCAGTTCCAGCGGAGCGGGGCGCTGCGGGCCGAGCCCGTGACCGCCCTGCGCGCTCCCGGCTCCCGCATGCCGAGCCCGCGCGGCTCCCGGCCGAATATCGCACCCTCCGAGGGAGGAAAGAAAGGTCCCGGGCAGGGTGCGGAGAAGCCTGTGCGCCCCTGCTGCCGGGTGTCTCTGGGAGGGAAGGAGAAGGGAGGCTCCTCCGTATCCTCTCTGTGGATACAAGCATCCTGCCGGGTGTCTCCTCCGGGCTGCAGTTTGTACAATGTATATGTATTTTGAGACTGGTTGGGAAGATGGGTGGCCCATACTTGCTCCCAAAGGACGGTTGTGAACACACACCTCAAGGGCAGCACAGAAGTAATTGGAAGAGAATTGAAGTGATGGTGTCCTCGAAGAACAAACTGGAGCAGACACACTGTAGCCAGGGCATGGTGGGCACCAAGGTGCCTTATCTTGAGCCTGCATATGGACTGTGGAGTAACAGCACAGAAGGGTCCTCTTGCACTCTCTGCTGGCTATTTTCCACCCTAAAACACAGAGAGGCTTTTCCCACATAACTGTGCAGCAGAATAAAGAGTCTCACGAGAGCAGAATCCGGGCATGGCTGTAATCCCCAAGAAAGGCCTTGGTGCCATGCCTGGCTATTGCTGGTGTAATGAAGTCGCCGTTTAATTAGATTGAATAATGACCCCAGAGCCTGGCACTGTGCTCTGCACCCACTCCTCAGTTTGGAGTGTGGGTCCCAGGAGCTGCCCCTGCTGCCAGGGAGCCACGGAGCTGAGTTTTGGCAGCCTGGGGGCAGTGGGACCTTGCCAAAAGCAACACCAGACATGGTGCCTTGAGTGCCCACCACCCACCTCCACCTGACTCTGTGCAGTGGGAAATGTGTGTCAAGATGGATCCCATCCACAGCCCTCAGAATAATTTCAGGTGTGTCTTATAAATAAACTATGACATTTATCCTGTGACTAGATTAGCAGAAATATATTACACTTAGTCTGCTCCTTAGCAATCAATTGTTCTAAGTAGGTGTTATTTATCAAAGCATTGATTAGGGACCCAAGTCTGTAGTCCTTAAGCAAGCCAGCTCATTGCTGATAGGATGGAATATTTAAATGAGAGTTTTGAGATCAGACTTTGTGTAACTCCATTGTCATAGGAAAAGAAGGTGCACGTGACAGCTTTCCAGGGGAAGACACATTCGTGCCACTTGGAGTTCAAAGGAAGAATAACATGTGAAAACTGCAGTCATTGCTTTACCTGAGCACCTTCTGTCCTGCTCTCTGTGGTGCAGGGTGCATAAGCTGTCACAGCAAAATAATAAGTCTGTAACTGGGTAAAGTGAGTTGCATACTGTAAATGTAAAACCCTGCTCGATGTCTGTTGCTATGGCAGGTGACCGGGGAGGGAACGTCCTCCAAGGGCCATCCCTGGCACGAGGAACCTTCCCTGCCACATCTGTGTGGGAGCCTTTGTGAGCAGAGTGTGCCTCTCTATTCTTTATTCAGGTTGTGTTATGAAAAACGCTTTAAATGGATGACCTTGAAAACAAAGCCCAAACAAGAGTCCTGGCACGCTGGGTCCATTGACAGCGAGTTCTCTGCCCTGCTGCCTGCAGGACTCACAATTATGTTTTTCTCCAATTTTGGCTCCATTACTTACAAAAAATTCCTGATAATGTGAAAAATAAGGTATCTTAAACCACTGATTTCTGGGGGTTATTTTTGTGTTTGGAGGATTGATTTTTTTTTTTTTTCCCCTCTCAGTCTCCAATGGAACAGAAGGCAATGTGAATCCCTTTTGTTTACTTCTTTGTTTCTGCTCCTGACTGCTTATTAGCAGATATGTGTGTGGCTCTGCTGTGGTCTGAGGCTGGTTAGTGACTATTACAAAGTTAGGAGGAAGAGCAACAGTCACAAAGCCTTGGTTTTGAGAGGGTGGAATGAAGAGGAAACAAAAAAAGGAAATATTTATCTAGGAAAAGAATACACTTGGTAAATGCTTATGCTAGAACAATAAAAGATTTTTATTCTGTTATTTCTAGGAAATGAGATTTCCAATTATTTTGATATTAAAGCATGTTAAAGCAAAGGCAGTATTTATTGAAGGGTTTATTACCTGTTTTATTAGTTGCACAGACTCAGACACTCAGGGTGCAAAGAAACACCCCAGCATATAATCCAGTATTGTGATCTAGTGATGCTGTGCTTATAATCAGGATTTCTGATTATCATGCATTGCACACAGTCACTTAGAGCCCTATATAGAATCTAGTTTCTTTTAAGACTGTTTACCTTTGCTTAGTCATCAGCAAATGCAACTTGTATTTTCAAAATGTTTGCTATGGAAAGATGGAGAACATTTGGGGGTGAGTGGAATTAATTGTAAAATTGTTTCTGGTGCCTGGATGCATGTAAAATGTTTCTGGTGGAAAAGACTGGAAATTATTTATCTTGATGATTTGGAGCCTGATATTTATAGCAATACTGTTTGAATGCTTTAGGAAAAAGATCATTTCTCCCATCCTGCCAATTATTTGGGAAAAAAGGTCAGTTTTTTTTTAAATCCTATATATAGGAAAGCTTATCTTACACTGAGTCTTTATTCATCTCTCAGAAAATAGCACAGAGAAAAATGAAGAGAACATATGGTGTCTTCTATCAGTCAGTCATCATTACTGCTTCTTCACACTATGTCATCACCCCACAAATAGCAAATGAGTGTGAATTTCTCCCTGCTGAAAGAGAAAAGAAAAACTGGTTAGTACAGCCAAGTTAAAAAAAAGAAATAATATTACAATAGCATCAACTGGAACATTATATAAAATATTAATGACAATGAGAATGCAGAGGGAAAACCCTCTAAACTGTCAAACAATAGTATCAAACCTCAAAATGTTGAGCTGGAGCAGAACTCATGAATTTCTCTTGATTTGATAACCAAGCTTGAAATATTGATGGGACACAGTCTCTCCTGCCCATTCTTTATGAATGATTCTGTGCTACTTGAGGTGCTCAAACAGACAGAACTCAAATAAGAGCGGCGAGGAATGTAATGTAATAGTTTGTCTCTGGGGCATCCATAAAATCTTGAATTTCCTTTTTAAGCAGACATCTAGGAAAAATATAATTTTATTTAATTCCCCACTGTTCCTATTACACGTTAGTATAAAGGTTGCAATTGAAATGCTTATCTGCAAAGCCCCTCTGCCATTCTTGGTCTCTTGCAAAGAAATGTATGACAAAGCAGCCTTGGAAATAGCTGCCACAGGAACTTAACAAACCCCAACTCTGGAAACATCTGTCCCAGCTTTGGAAGGGATATTTCAAAACCATCCTTCTTGAGAAGCAGCAAAAACAGTTGGGGTTTATGGGGAAAAAAATGTGTATATATGTGTGTGTGTGTGTGTCTGTGTATAGTGCAACAAAGCAGCAAATTAAGAGCCTCATTGGAATGTCTGAAGCAGATCTGGGCCATGTTGTCTCCCAGATCTCTAATCCTTCATTTCCATTGAATCCTTCCCTCAAAAAGCAGCTCATAACGGGATGCTAATGCACCTGGAATTGAGCCCCACATGTAAACAGCAAGCTCATCTGCAGACTCCACTGACTCTGGCACCCACTGAAATAAATCTGTACGAGGTGCCCTTCTTCAAACATATGCCCACGTAGGCTCTTGGGCTAGAATTAAGTTTCTCCTATGGCCAGATCCAAGATCTGACTGTGTTACTGATGCTGCTTTAGGGTTACCACACCTGACTAGGGGAACAGAGCTTTTCTCCAAAGGCCATTTTCTTAAAATTGCTTACACACAATGATCCAGTCAGGGTGAGCTGGGCAGGCTGGGGACAGAGCCAGTGAGGGTCAAATAAGAGAGGAAAGCTCAGAGTAATGCTAGGGACAGAATAAAGTGGAGTGAATTTTCTGGGACCAAAATTAACCAAAATTAAAAAAATAATAAATAATTCCATGCACTCTCCCCTTGGAACAATGCTTCTGCATAGGTATTATCTGGCAAGGTTTCTATGGAGAGGCAGTGTCTTTTTCAGACCAAGAAATATCCATGGGACAAATTGTAGGGTACACAAACCATTCTTTAGGAACAAAATAAAAATCTCTGGAAAGATTATAGAAACCTCAAAAGACAGAACTGGAAGAGATGTATTAGATCATATGGTTCCTTGTTGGTAGAAGCAGTAATAAATTGCCCCCTGGAGATAGAGAACATCAGTTATTTCATAAAATATAGCCAAAGGGCCCAGAAGGAACAATATGGTTTAGACAGGAAAGCCTGAGAAACATTTGATTTAGTCTTAAGTGAGAGCAGCCAGACCTGGCAGACTCAGATTCCAAAAATGGCACTCAGAACTACTCTTTGGAAACTCCATCAATAACTTGGAGTAACTGGGAGCTGGAGTGCTCCTTAGTGGGTAGGTGTGGGAAGGGGTTCTTTCCATATACAAAGCTGTGTGTTGAAATATTCCCCAGAACAACATATAAAGCTGCAGGGGTTTGGAGTATTTTACTGCTCCTGTTTTTTGTCCATCCTGGAAAAATGGATGTTAAGATGGAATAATTGCTGATGGCTCTTCCAAACCAAACCTGAAGGTAATGCTGTTCTCTAAGG